ACTAATATTAATTAATATTCATTTATTATTAATAGTAATAAATAATAATTAATATTAATGGGGTTATAATTAGAAAAAATTCACAATAAGTTCCCAAAGCGCTTTTACATTTAGCATTTCAATAAGTTAGCTTATAGTCATCCAAACGTATACCCAAAAAATAAGCTAGTTTATTTTTGTCAAACAACGTCTAAATGAGGGATGATTTTGCTCATTTATCAATTTGATTGAATAAAGATAAAAAATCGATAAAATAACAAAAAAAAAGTCTCGTTTAGCGAAATTCTTTAATGATCGATAGACAAAGGCGTCAAATCCATACTTTTTTTTAAATCATGATAGTCATCTTGTAATTTCAATACTACAGGGACAAAATGTGTTATTTCTAATAAACCATAAGGACCAAATTTATAATTTACTCAAGTTTTAAATGAGATATTAAAATATAAAAAACTGTCAAATGCAAAGAATCCACATTTTAAAACAAGGCCATTTCAGCCAAATTCGATAAAAAGGTCATTAGGAATACCCAATACTGTGATATTGTTCGATTCACCTTTAGATATATAAAATATCGAATTAGAATCAAAATTTAACTTTATAATTGAAATTTCAAATTCATGTAACAACAATCAGTTATATGGAGAGCCACCACGAACCTCTCACTCCCATCATCAATGACTCCCTCCCTCCCAGAACCGCACTTCTGCTCCTGCTCTGTCTTCTTCTTAATAACGATTGACATGAACCCTTGCGATGGTGCCAACGGAAGCCCATTTCCCTGTAATAAATTAAAGTCTAGATTTGTCATCGTTTTATGGGGGTGTTTGATCCACTTTAATGTTATTTAAAAAAATGAACTTCGTCAACAAAATTGGAATATGAAAGTACTGGAATGAAATAACACCGATTAAAAAAATACAAATATAAAATTGAAAATGCACTCTGCTTTTGTGAGAATTGTCTTGCTCATGACATCAATGCCACAATGACCAGCTCCTCGTGATCTAAGTAACTACATACCAATGATGCTACTCTAACGACGTAGCAATATATTTGCCATATCAACTGTAAATTAATTAAGAGCCTAAAGCCTGACCTAAAAATTATGGGTCTGGTAGAGTTTGAAGGTAGGCCAGGCCTAAAAGACCGTCAAGCCAAGTTTTTTTTTTCAAATGCTCGAAAAAGTCCAAGCATGAAAAAACTTGATCGGAACTATTTTCAATCCCACAATCCAACATAAGCCTTAAAGAATCCCGGGCACTTTTTCGTTTACTAAAAACGGGACCACATTCCATTAACCGTCTATTTTTTGTCAGAACCACCAAAATTCTATCGTTGGTGGCGGCTATATGCGTAACATATCAAGTTGTGTTATGGGTTTGAATCATAGGCCCTACACATGGGTCCTTAGATATCGACTTGTACATCTTATAAAGAAAGTTTTCTTGTAGTCGACCTGCCTATGACTACAAAATCCACCAATCATATTGTCATTATCAGTCCTAATCACAATCAGCCGACCATTTATCCTACAAATTCGTATAACAATTGATTTCTATATTCGTACTTTTACATACCCCGTAATAGAAATTCATATAAAAAAGTATATAGCTTTCTAAAAGAAACCAATAAAGATTGAATCGTTAGTTAAACAACCATTTGAAAATAACAAACCCTTGTCACATGCTAAAAACCGCATCTAAATGTTCGAAAAGCAAACCAACATATACTTTATATTAAGCATATATAATCAAGTAGACCGAAAATACGAGTCGAGGACTAAAATTAAGGTTGACCGTTAAGAGAGACTAAAGCAGAAAACCAAATCAACTTTTAAAGCTCGTATTTCAATCACAAGTTATTATTATTTTTTTTTATTAACCTGGATATCCAACCCGCTATGCGAGCCGACTAATCCCAAGACGACCACCTGCTTTGTAGATATCCCAGAGTCATCGCATTTGAACCTCCGTGGCCACAAGAGGATTTTTATTCCTTCTTGAATTTGAACTTGAGATCTTCTAGTACTTTTGATCACTTTCAAGTGAAAAGTGCTAAATATAACACTACTGCTAAATTTTTGCATTAAAAAGTACACTATATATCATAATAACATTAATTGTCTCCAACTAGTCGATACAAAATCATAACACTTTTATATATCTGACATATATTTATTAAATTTTCATTTACATATAACCATTTTTTGTGTATATTAATTAGTTTAATTAACTTTAAATTTACATATTTTTATTTAGCTATAATATTTTTTTATGTATATTAACTAATTATAGTAAATTAGTTATATTCATTAATTTATATTTTATTATATCAATGCACTTAATTTAGTATTTAGTTTTACAACCTTTTTAATTATTAAATTTTCAACAAATTAAAATAACACATGTATTAAAATTGAATTTTATCTGAGTTAAAATGAGGTTTATTAAAATAACACATGTATTAACAGATTCTTTTTAGAAAAATCACATAAATGATAGAAATACATAAAAGAAATTAACAAAATCACCAAAAAATTTATGCATTTAGAAAGACTAGAAGGGTACTCGCGTAATACAACGAGATACATCTTGATTTTAATGTTTTGTTTTATTATCTGTCTCCATGTTATAATACGGCTTTATGTGGGTTTGAGAAAACGCTAATGTTTTTATTTTTAAATAAAATATACATTTTGAGATATCATAAAATTTTGAAAAATATATATCGAAATGAGTATCATAAAAGTTCTCGTTCTTTTGTGTAATTTCTATTTATTATAATTTAATTTAAGGTTAATAACGAAATAATTTATTTTTGATTTAACAATATAATTTTTTATAAAGATAATAATTAAGTATTCTGTTATAACTCAATAATTATCTTTATTATATTTTAGATTTTTTTATATTTAAAATAAAATCTTTATCTGTAGTTAGTTACATAAATTCAAACATAGAGCTTTAATAAGTTGTACTTACGTATCATTTACTTGTAATCTTGAATCTTTAGTAATATACATCAATAAATAATATTTCATACATAAAAAATGATTTTTAAGAGATTTTATCAAATGTTTTATAATATAGTATAGATAAACATTACTTTCACCAACCAAATTCACCAATTAACGAATTTCTAATTTTGTTATAAAATGGATCCTATATATCATAAAAAGTCAAGGAATTCCCATGTATTCGGGCAAAATCTTGTGCGTTTCACCAAAATCAAGGGTCTAAAGATTTATTGAGTTTTTATAATATCTAAGACCCGTTTTATAACAAAATTAAAAATTCGTCAATTGGTGAATTTGGTTGGTAAAAGAACTGTCTATTTTGATAAACTAGAAGAGTACTCGCACAATGCAGTGAGACACATCTTGATTTTAATGTTCTATTTTATTATTTGTCTCTGTCGATATTATAATACGATTTTATGTGTTTTTAAGAAAACAATAATAATTTTATTTTTGAATAAAATATAAATTTGAAAAAAAAATATCAATGTTAATAT